AGCCGCCCGAGACATACTGCGTGTACCGAGATGGGCAGCGTGCCGGGGTCAATGCGACCAAGTTCCAAGCAGAAGGAAATCGTTACATCCGAAGGGACTTCAGAGAGATGTTCCGGCTGAGGATTCGTTCCTCCCGCGTCCATGTGGAACACAGAGGCTACTACTAGCCCGTGGCTCCTCTACAGGAGGAGAGTTTCCCAGTTTCGTGCTCTAACTGAGAGCCAAAGTCCAAACCCCAAACCATTGATGCCTGCCCCCATGGTGCTCTGTTTGGCTAAGACTACATGGCGAAAGGAAAAAGGCATCAAAACCATGCCATGCGGCCGCTGAGCTGAAGCCTCGGTGGGCCTCTGCGACTGGGAGTGCTTCTTTCTGCCCTAGAAGGAACACACTTTGTAGGGGTTTTTGCATCAAGAACACGGACAACGTCTAAATCTATCAGCAGAAGCCAACTCCAACCGCCTGAACTCTGAGCAGTTCATAGTCTTCAAGCCCTAAGCCCCGAAACCCCAAAGCCCGAATGCGTCATCGTCCTCTGTTTGTTCGGAGTGATGCTGCAATGCGGGGCTTGTCCTTGCTAGGTACCAGTAGGAGGGAAAAGAGCATGTAAACGGCTCAGGTCGTGCTGTGCCTGCTGTCTTCCTTGCGAAAGTTGGACAGTTTAGCGAAGGCTCGGCTGCCTTTCGTTTGGTTGCTTACATTCCTCCTGTAGGGTTTAGCCCTTAAAGTCTTAAAGTTTAGGGTTTAGCGTGCAGGGTTAGGGTGCAACGGTTTGGTCCCGGTTAAAACGGGTTAAGGGCCCCGGCTCCATGGTTGAGGCGCAAGGGCATCTCACAGATGTGAAGGCCGAAGAAGTTCAGGCTGAGGGTCTAGTATCCCGGGGTTTAGGCTTTAGGGTTTAGGGTTTAGTTTAGTAAGTATGGACCTGCTTGGAAGAACTCAGGCAGAGCGCGCAGACATTCCCCTGATGCACAGGTTTCGAAAGACAGATGTGAGATTCGTCTGAGATGACCCGTTTTCTGTTTTTTTCTACGAGGCTTTTTTGAACTTCTTCCCTTCGTGTTTGCAGTTTGGAGCGCTGAACTGTTTTTTTGCTGCCCGACTTTGGCGCCATGAGGGACAGCGCAGTTTTTTGTGCCGAGCATCCAGGGCCTTAGAATGCTTGCAGGCACTTTGGCAGATGATGAGTCTTAGGACAGGTCCAACTTTCGGACCATTCCCCTTATGATTCCAACAGTACTGCAGTTTATATCTTTTTGCAACCCTCTTGGCCGGAACTGATGTAACAACTTGCTCGGGCGCCGCTCCATCGCCAGATTTCCGTTCTGGCCTTGGCTGTCTACGCATACCTGCTGGTGGTCCTGCCAATCCGATGGGGCACTGAAGAGTTGCGTCTTGACCAAAATCGGGGTGTTTCGTGAACAGTCTTACGCGGGTTTCTGGCTGGCAGGCTCATTGTCAGAGGTTCATGTGGTCGGAAGCGGAAAATGAGAGTGAGAACTGACGTCGGTTGAACGAGCCCTTGACCGGCTCCCTGGTGATCTCTGTAGCTCGCTGGGCAAGACAGGGGTGATTGAGGGGCGAGGCCTCTGCTCTATTCGGTTCAGGGTGTAGGGCTAAAGTGTCTAGGTAGCCGATTTTCGAAGCAGCCGTTCTCTGTCATAACTATACTATAGCATATCCACAAACCCTGCGTAACGTATGCCAACTATTACATAAGGCCCCTGTAGTAGGTTTCTGACTACTTCCGTGGCTGGAAGTCGGCATGCACCCCATCGCTTGGGCAATCACAGACTGGAACCTTGTCCAACTCAAATGCCGTTTTAAAGGATATATACTATAGGATACCTGCGTATAGAATGTGTTTATTCATCCTTATGTGAAGCTTATGTGAGTCGAAGAACTCATGAAGTCGCTCTGTCTCTGTGTGTCTCTCTCTCTCTCTCTCTCGCGCTCTCTTCTTTCATGTCTCCTTGTATGCAAGGACAAGTGGGCGAGCCCCGAGCTTGGGAGGCAGATACCTCACCGGGCAGGGCTTGCGCGGTTCAGAGCTGCAACATTCCAGCACTTTGACGCTCCGCTGATCTCGTGCTAACTCTCAGAGTGCGCCGGGATGCAAGAAGTTCTGCCCGAACAGTTCTTTCTGCAGACCCCAATGGTCTTCGTCGCAGGCGTTTGGGGGAAGTTTGAATCCAGCAACCTGGGACTGTGGCAGCTTTTCCGCAACGATCGCTTGGGGTTCTCGGCTATTTGAGCATCTTTCTGAAGCGTCACTCTCGCTCAGGTTGGGAACGTCCATCTTTGCGCAGGAGGCCTTCTGCTAGGGCCTAGGAGTGTTCCCCACCTGTCAGCTGGTTGATGTGCAGGCAGTTGTTGTCAGCCAGTGCGTGTACCAGGAGAACGGTCTGCTGTAAGTGTCAGGCTGACGGGGAATCTTGAAACTGCATGCCAGGACATGCGCCTCAGGGATCATCGGGCGTTTCGGCCCATTCTCGTGTCCAGCTTCGTGATCTGTTCTGTCGCAAGCACTGCTTTAGCGGCCTTCGGCTGCATGTGCTACGGTGCTTTGGTGGCGTTTGATGTGGGCTTTGTATGCGAATTTTCCAGAAGAGGCGCATGATCGACATGTGCAGGCGACTCGGTCAAGCAGGTCTTCTATCTCAATTTCCCTGCCAGCAGCCTGGATGTAGCTGGGCTGCCTCAATGAAACCTGAGAAACCTGTTACTGTGAGCAAGAGGGGCTGTCGCACTGTCGTGAAGTACAGAACTGAGCAGCGAGCAAGAGCTCCTCAGAGTGAGATCTGCAGATATGCGTCGCGTCCCCTCATAATGTGTGTTTCGCCCGAACTAACTAATGGGAAAAGTCGCATATAGTGAGCTTTTCCTGTCCGCTGCCCATGTATGTGTAAGTAACGAACCACAGCTGCCTCCAAACCTACATCTTCTCACCACCGCCCCGGGCTTGCGGATGAGATATACGCATAGAAGCCAGACTCAGAGTCGTTGAGTCTTGGTTTGTTGACTGCGCATAGGTCACCATTGCGGAGACCATTCTTTGCCTGGTCCTGCTCCCCACCTTCGTCATTCAGCTGTGCTTCAGCCGCACTTCTTTGCAATGTATAGAGGGGAATTCGTAGAGTCGACGTAGGCTCCCTTTAGGTTTCAGCCTGCTGCGACAAGGTATCCAGTCGCGAGGTGCTTCGATGAGCTCCCCGTATGCAAAGCCTGGAGGTTGTATCCTGAGTCCGCCCTTTGACTTAGACTGCTTGTCATTTTTTGTGGGACTCTTTTGACCCGATCTGAGGCTTCTAACCTGTGCAGGTTACGTCAGCCTTTCCTCGGATGACTCCGACGAAACCTTGGAAGACTCCGAAGAGGGCAGAGGTGGGGGAGGGTTCCACTTCATCTGAATCAGGAGCTCGAGCTCGGGCCTTTTTCATGTGGTGCTTGGAGGCCAAAGTTGCCTGGTGAAAGTCCTCGCGCGGTGGTTGCTTGTGATCATCACTTGCGTAGTGGCTGCGGCCGAGAGCCTCAGAATGCCCGAGTGTTACGTCACCTTGACTCCCGATGAGTTTGCTAGAGGTAGTGCCGGACTTGGCCTGCATCTCTGGCTACAGCGGCAGCTTTGCGATGAGTTCCATGGCAAGACCAGCAACTGGCTATGTTCTCTCAATCTTATGACGGTCTCTGCTGCATTTCTGACCTGAACCTGTTACGCCAATAGAACGACCAGTCCAGGCGTGATTGGCTTCTTCCTGCCGCCGCTATGCCATCTGAAGCTACATCACTTCCGCGTGTCCAAGTCCCCTTGTCTGCAAAGCACTGCAGGGTTCTCGTCGAGGCCGTTGCTGATGGTCTCAGCCGTAGCAATACTACTGCAGTAGTAACAGTCTTCATAAATCTAGTAATCACAATAGTTATCATATCTATAAAAATCACAGCAGTCGTATGGATCGTAATGGTAACCATCAGCACAACAAGACTCTTCTCGAGGCTGGACTGGATTCTGGATGTGGGCTTGCTTGCAGTCGGGGTGACCGCTCTGGTCCTGGGTGTCAGCAATACGCACTGCGGCGCTGAGTGAAAGAATCGGCTTGAGATGTTACAGAAAGAGGGCTTTTAAAGACCCCTTTCTGAAGCGATTGGGATGTTGTGCCGATAGAGGCCTTGTACATACTGCACGGGCAAGCACGGCAGTCAGCAACCATTGCTAGCCGAGCTGTTTTCCCTGGTGCGCTGTGCAGCAAGTAGGCAGGCCCACCGCTTGCGCAGGAGTGATCAAGAGAAGTGGCAGGAGAAAGACTTGAAAAGTGGATTGTCGTCTTCCTTGAACTTCAACCCCTGCTCCTGGAGATCTCTCCTGCCGCTTTCCTCACCAAAGCTATGAGTTGAGACTTAGCCCTGAAAACCAATGGCTCTCAAAGTGAATTCCCTAAACCACCGCAGGGCCCTGGCAGTCTGCCTTGAGCCCTGAGCTCCGGCTACATGGGTGGTTGTCAAAATTATGGTCCCTTTTTGGGTCCTTATTATAGTACGGCACCTATTATTTAGGGTACCCCAAAAGGGATCATAATTTTGACAACTACCCACATGGGTTCAAGTTCAGGGCTTTCAGAGCTCGGGAGCTTCAAAAGCTTTTTGAACCTTGAGAATGCGAGGCTCTTGCCTCGATTTCCTCGCGGTACTTGGACCCTTGCAGCTCGGAAGGCCCCCCAAAGCCCTACATCCGAGAGCCGGGGGTTCCGTGTGGGAGCTTGGACTCTTAGAATCCTCGCAGCGCGTTTTAGTGACCGGAAGCTGAGAGCCCAAGGCAGTGGGACGAGAAGCCTTGTGCCCAACTCTGTGAGCCTATAGCTCCCTAAACCCTAAACCCTCTGCTGCAAACTGTATGACCCGGACCTGCGACCAGGGATCCTCGCCTGGCATGTCCGAGTTGTGAGAGCGTAAGCCCTAAACTGCCCTAAACCCGAAGCAGCTAAGAGCTTCTCCAGCAAAATGAGGTGGCGGGCACCATCCTTTGCGGCTTTCTGGGAAGGTGGGCGCCGAAAAGAGGGAAGTTGATTTCGGTTATAGGCTTCTGATGTGAGTGATGTTCCCCTCCCCAGAGAACTACAGGAATCACAGTTCTATCTGCTAATCGACAGAATGCACATGCCACGACATCATGCACAAAGATGCTTTCAAACAAGCAGACGCATTCATCCTGTGCATTGTACATGTCTCCAGATGTGTACATGGTATATCACGCCTACATGTTTGCCGGGACTTGCTGCTGTCAGGAAGCCGGCGCCCGCGCGTGCGGCTTTCCGCCGTCTCGGAGGAGCCAGCGCCGTCCTCCCTGCAGCAGTCGCCCACTTCGAAAACGTTGGTCCTACAGAGGTATACAAAAACGAGGATTCAATGTAGTCGTGAGACTGCCCCCTGGGGTGTGAAACCTAAGTCCTCTGGCAACTTTCCAGCATGCAATGGTTGCCGACTGTCTCTACCCACGCATGCCTCGCGACATCTAGTTTGCACCTCACATAACAACTTCTGAAAACAAACTTCCTGTTGGCTGTTGCAGGAAGGTGCTTCTGCAACGTGTGGTTCAAATCTGACCACTGGCTTTGCAAACAGTTGGACGAGTTCCCACACTCTGCGAATGCATACAGGGGCTCGCGAAGTTGGAACGCTTTTCCTGAGGGTCACTCACAACACACAACGACGTATTGTATAACCCCCCCCCCACCTATTCTAACTATTAAGGCCCGTCTATTATCCAGACCTGCGCCTCAGAAGTCGATCGGACCACCCTAAGCCCGCAACCCTGAAGCATCCTGTAATCATAGTAATACTTGTAATCATAGTTTTAAGTAGTGCTTATACTAGTAATGATAGCAATCGTAGCAATATCGCACGCAACCGGGAAGGACAACCTGCTGGGGCTGGATCAGGACACAGTCGACTTGCACAGGACTGGACACGAATAGGAGACTCTGGGATGTCTGACCTACCACGCGATTTTGCTGCAGATGGTTTCGTCACTTCTCAGCTCGGTGATTCAAACTAATTTTCGAAGCAAGGTACGGTTGGCATCCTCACTCCTTTGCTGCATAGGCTGCATAGGCTAGTGCTGTGATTGGGAGTTCAGGCTTTACATGCAATTTCGTTTTTGCAAGTGTGATCTCTAGTGTTGGTTTTGCTCGAGCTGATCTCAGTGAGATCGCACAAGACCGGGCATCGAAGCAGGAAGCACGTTGCAAGAATGGGGTTTTGGGAAACGGCCGGAGTCTGACATTCTTCGTGCAAGGAAGTACCACGATGCGACCATAACGTACACAGCCGGGGGCTAAGCCTTGGGTGATGCAGCCTAGACGCTAGTCATTGACTCCTGTTTTTGCGGACCAAAACTTCCAAAACCCGAAGTCAGTTGAGTTTCTGCGATCATCAGGAAAGCATGTTACCCATGACTCCCGATTGTGGCAAGAACGCAATGATTACAGGCCATGAACATTGATTGGGCACAGGACAAGGCCGGGACTCGTTATTGCGATTGGAGCATTGAAGAGTTCAACAGTTTTTCGCTCACCAAACACTTAAGCCCGAAACCGCAGAATCCCAACGTAATGAATCTCCTGCGATCCAGCGAGTGGTGCCGAAACCCTTTGCGGCCTGAAGCGAGGGCTACGAGAATGATGGGGAGCTTTCCGAAACCGAGCGGGATGCCGTGGCCGGCAGCCCAGAGGAGAGACTTCCAAGTACTGACGTGATGTCAAGTTGAGTCAAGTTAGCCATAATGAGGCTCGTGAACTCCAGCCCAATCAGCCCCCGAACCCTAAATCCAAGATGCACACCTGTAGTAAACATGCACCTAAACCCTTGTCCGAGTGCGAGTCTCAGAATCAGGCGCGCGCGGCCCGAGCTCGGCTCTTTCGCTGGCCGGAGCTGGAGGACCGCGATATGCACGCCGGGGCCCGAGAACTGCAAGAAGAGCCTGCGGTTCCCTCGGCTTGAAGTCGATCCAAGCCAGCTCTCGTTTTCTTTTTTTTTTAACCTGGAGAGCCTTTCCTTTCTTGCTCTTGTGCCTCAGAGGTGTGCCGTAGAGGCAGGGAGAAGGCGCCTAGTAGCAAAGTTAGCTTCTCTGGACACCCTGAACTGAACTGGTACATGGATGTACATGGGTGTGGTATATAGTTGATATAGTTGCAACTACGGAGAGACGGGCAGTACGCGAAACTGACCGGGGGTGCCAGATTTCTTTAGGGCCCGGGTGGCCGAGCTGGTTCGGGAGTTGTTTGATGCTGATTTTGTCCAGTGAGAGCTCGCTTCTGTTTGCTTTTGCGTTCGCTTTGGTTGGGGCTTGGAGCTTCGAGCTTTCTCCGTTTCGGAGTCTTCGGCCTGTTCAGGCGGTGAACTTCGGACCCGAGCGTCTTCGCTTCTGCCGGGCGCCGCAGAGGATGGGATTTGGTGAAGTCAGGATTTCGGGATGAGGCAGCGGAAGTAGGGTCCGGGAGTCTAGAAGTTGGCCTCTGCGGTTTCGGGCTTATGGCTGCAGGCATCATTGATCGCAGCGAGTTGAGCATCCCTTGCAGCCGTGCTCCACAATCATCACAACCACAAGTGCGACGAAGACAGCCTTAAGCTCTTCGATGCTTCCGATGAGATGTCGGGAAGGCTGCTCGGTGAAGCTCGAAGCACACCTTCTCTCTGAGGTAAATCTGCAGATTCGGCTGAAGCTCTCGGAGATCCAGGACAAAACGCCTGGGACTCACATTCGGCCACTCAGCAGATTGCAATCGTGTGCTTGCCTAGTTGGATCGAGGTCTTTGTGGTGAGCCAGATGCGTCGTCCATCCCGCTTGAGACATGCGCTGAATGCCTCTTGGCCCGAAGCGGTGGACATGGTTCCGCTGTGGGATTCTGCAGTCTACTTCCGGACCGAGCTACCACCTTGACTCACTCAGCCTTTGCGCTTTGCTTTTGCGAGAGCACCAGCGCATGTAGCAACAAGTCTGAGGAGCTGTATCGCGAGGGCATCAGTGCGAACATCGCCGGAGACTGAGGAAGCGACATGCACCAGACATGCTGCACCATGCTTGCTCGAGCTGCTGAGTGCTGCAGGGCGACTCATCTTAGGTCGATGCCGTTGATGGAGATGGCTTTCGCGCGCAGGATGAACTGGAGAGGCATCTTGCCATCTTGGCCTCCTACTGCCACAAGATCTACTGCTTGCACAGCTCACACCACCAATCGACGACGACAGTGGCGACCGCGACAGCGACGGCGGCGACGACGTCGCTTCTGCTGCTGCTGCTGCTGCTGCTGCTGCTGCCAGGACCACCAGCACCACCACTGCCACCGCCACCGCCACAATGACCTACGCTCTTCCTTTTGCTCCCATTGTTACTCTGTACTCCAACTGCATGCGAACTCTACCGTCTGAGGCCAGCTTGTTGTCTGTCAGAGCGTCGGAGGCTCGAGACAGAGGCGGGCAGACAACAAGAACTCAGAGACCAAGCGCATCGATCTTCACGACCAATGCACAACCCTCCGCTTGTGTGTAGAGTGCTGGGCAGCCCATGCCGCCATGAGCCTGGTTCGAGATCCCGTCGTCGCTGAAGCCTTTTTCGCGCAGCTGCCTGCCACGGACCTCAGCCCAGCGGAGGCATCGCTGCTACGAGCATTCTTAGCTCTTGGGGAGGCCGCAATTGCTCTGGGCTTGCCAGCAGGCGTGAGCCTCCAAGAATGGGCAGAAAGGCGTGTGCCAGGGCATTGCATAGGTCAGGTGAATGCCACGGGCCTGGTCTTCATCCCTGGTGCTGCCAAGGCCACTCCTCCCATGAGCTTGGTGAGAGAGGGTGGCAACAGCGGCCGTCGGGATTTGGGACCCTCTGGCGCTGTGGAGGCAGTGAAAGCCACGGTGGTCCGATCCATCGTGGCTGGGGTGAAATCCATCGGAGCCACCATGCTGGGGCCGTTGGGGGCCATGCTTCGGCTGAAGAAGGCCGAGGAGCCGGATAGGATGGAGGCCGTCGAGAACACGTTCTACTACGACACCGTGCAGAAGCGATGGCGGCAACATGGTGTCGAGGACGTAGATGTCTCCCAGATAGATCCCAAGACTGGACGGTTAAAGGCGCCCGACTTGTCAGCGCATCTTCCACCGCCACCCATGAACGGTCCCACGAGTGGCTCCTTGAACAGAGCCGGTCTGCAGGCAGTCGGCTCCCTCTATGTCGATCCCTTGGCCAAAGGCACTACGGCCTGGAGCGATGCCACCCCGACGGCACCCACGACGCCCTCCACGGCGATGGCCCCAGCCCCGGCAGCTTGTGCGGACATGCTGCAGTACCGGTCGCCGATGGACGAGGACTGGCAGAGCAGCGGGCAAGTCGCTGGCAACGTTCCCTTTCCGACGCCTTGTGCGGCTTTTGAAGATGGCTCCTACCCGTTGAACCAAGAGCTGCAAGATAGCCGACTTCTCGATCCGCCCAAAGGCCAGCGGTGCAATAGCTTTCTCCAGAATACTGTAAGGAGAATCATGGAGAGTAAGCTGTCTTATGCACGTTTGGTCTCTTCGCATCTCAAACTGGGCCAGGGTTGCTTGTCGCGAGGTGCCATTAGTCGTCTTCTGGCAGTTTCGTTGAATTCTGCTTCGGAAGCTGTGAGCCGTAAGGGTTTGAGGAGCATGAGCACAGTCTCTCAAACTGTAACTCTTGCCGGGCATGTCTGCGACCCATCCAGGACCAATGACGATGTGTGATGGGCCAGGCAACGGTTCTCTCCTTCCAGGCCTCCTCTTACTACTATTATTATTACTCTTACTATTACTAGCATTATTGATAGTATTGTTGGTATTCTTAACATGAGTGGATCGCAAGAAGTAATGCCGATGCGCGACATCTGCTGCTGTTGAAGGTTTGGGCTTCGGGTGCTTTGAGCCTTCTATAATAAGTGTATATCGCCTATGCCCAGTAGAAGTTGGCCCATCATAGCAAGAAGCCAGCTCTTTTCGTCGACAGTTTGAAACCTTTTTCTGTCTTGGCTCAGGAGGAGCAAGTAGATGAGTTGCCGAAGACGCGGACATGAGCATTGGAGAAGCAGTTGTGTCTTGGGCGCGAAGATTCGTGGCACAACGCTGCTCTGGCATAGGCCCTGCTCAAGTCAGATGTCCCATGTCCGGAGTGTAAGAGCCAGTGCACTGGCATTGTTTGAATGATTTGCCGTGACCTGCCTGGCATGTACAGAATGCTGCTTTGCCCGTTGCTCTGCTGTGCAGAGGTACGTGCAGGGTCCTTAGAGTCAACGACGATGTGTGTAATGCTGCTGTGGAAGAAGACTATACAGCTAATTTGCCGATAATTGAACAGTTTCCCAGCGAAGCCACGTCGCGCATCTCCCAAATTCCCAGGTTAGGAGCCAGTGGTCGTGGACCGGACAGTCTGAACTCAATCGAAGACCCCACAATTAAAGCTCGCCTGGTACTGCCGAGTTGGGAAGTTGCAAGGCTTACATCACCCTATCATACACCCAATGACAATGAAGTACAGCTCATCTATATTTGAAGCCTCCAGCAGGCAGAGTAGCTGGCACCCCGGCTGTGAAATCAAGACGCCGTAAGACAGCTTCACCACCCGCTCAAATAGAGGTCTCATGTTCACCTTCATGTGACATCGTCACGAAGATTCGGCTTGCACCTGTGTTGGTTATTGTATGTATATCCATGGGGCGAACATTGGTGGCTGTGAACTTAGAACCAACACCTGTGGACATAAGCTAGGGCTGTTGCGAGGAAGCCAATGGGGCCCTTCATGACCAATCACCCATAGATGCACATATACGTATAGACACAGAAATACTCTTAGTGCACAAACATCATGCATGCATGCATACATGCGCAGCAGGGCGAGCACCGCCTTTGCCAGGCTTGGCATTATCCCTGTCCCCGGCTACGAAGGCCACAAAAACCACGGCATCCACCTCACCACGGGGGAGGTCGGCGTTGGAGCCAGTTTTTTTTGGGGACTCTCTGTCTAAGGCTCTTTTGCTTCGTTTGCTCTCACATGCTGCAACTGTTTCTATAGCTGTTATTGGTATTCTCGCTTCTATCATACATATTTGTTATTACTGCCATTTCTCTCCCAGTATTCCTCTTGCAGTTTATAACTACCATTCTATTCTGATTGTCGCGACTGCCGTTTCTATTATAATGGTTTATCGAATTGCCAGGTGGGCTGCTTCATGAGCCACTTCACCATTTGGCATCACATGGTCAAGCTCGGCTCTCGAAGTTCATAGCAAAGGTGCGCATAGCTCCTCGCGCAAGACACCGGGGTAGGATTGTATGGATGAGGCACAACATTCCAGCCGCCCTCATCTTGGAAGATGACTTCGATCTACAGCCCGACTTTGCGTTCTTGCCTGAGCATCACGCCTTTGTGGCCCTGGCGCTGAACTGGGGGCTTCCGCTCACTACTGGGCTGGTGAGCTAGAATCTAGAAGTTAACGACTTCTGGGATGCTCCCAAGCTCAGCATCCACATGCAAAAGCTTCAATCCTGCAAGCCCTTAATGAAGCGAAACGCGATGCAGTCCCAAGCGCTTTCTGCCCTCCGCGGAAATCTCTGGAAGCTGCCGGCATTCCTCTTTTCTCGACATGTTTTAGAAGGTCTTAGGGGTGCTTAGAAATAATTTTTAATCTTTGGCTACTATAAACCCTAAGAAGCAGCTAAAATTGTAATTTTTGCTAGGGGTCTAAGAGGTGAGGATGAGAGAGTCGCGCTGGATGCTACCGTAAGGATCAAGCTCGGCGAGTACCTCGAGGAGGCTGGGCCTTTTCCCTCATGGCAAATGGAGACACCAAAGCCACAAAGCTTGCAGGCCCGGTAGCAGTAGCAGTAGCAGTAGAAGTAGTAGTAGTAGTAGTAGTAGTAGTAGTAGTAGTAGTAGTAGTATAGTGGCAGTGGCAGTGGTAGTAGAGAGGTAGCGGTAGCAGTAGCGGTGGTGGTAGTGGTAGTGGCAGTGCTGTGACCAGTAGTGGTAGTGGTAGTAGTGGTAGCAGTGCAGCAGTAGGCGGAGGAGGACTATAAGTGCCACTGCTACTGCCGCTCTGCTGCTGCTGCTGCTGCTGCTGCCTCTCCTCCTCCTCCTGATTGTCGCTTCCTCCTATTCCCCAAAATTTGTGGTAGTGGTGCACGTTGTGGCAGATCCATCGAAGCAGCAGAACCGGTGGCAGTCGTCGTCGCCGCGGTGGCCACGTAGAGGGGCAGATTACACGGCAGTATGGGCAGTTGTCGCTGACAGGCGCGCGGCTACGACTGGAACCTCCTGTACGTTGGGCCCGCGCCTCAGGATTTTACAACAATCACAGTCTAAAGCGGTGGTAGCAAATGCTGCGAATCTAAGAATAGTGCACTGTATCACTGACGGTCATTCTGGTATGTTTCCATCTGGCCGACTGATAAGTAAACAGCTTTGCTCCAAAGAATTGCCTACAGGCGCGGTCAGCCCAAGACGTTTGAGTTGGACGGGCATGGTCTAGGGTTCTTAAAGCTGACATCAGCGAACAAGAAGAGTTCACGAAATAACACCTTCAGTCCTACAAGCAAAGCTTCCTCATCCACTCTTGACGGCTTAAACCGGCCTTGTAACCCCTAGTGTAATTGCTTCGAAATTTTGCAGTTCGTAACTGGTGCCTGAACTTGCAAACGTGCAGATGCCAAAGCCAGAAAGCAAAATCAGATCAAGCAGTGCCAGCCGCAAAATACTGGGACATGTATGTGGAATTCGCGAGAATGCTTCATTCCTTCATGTTGGTCTTGACCAACATAGCAGATTACGAAAACAAGAGCACCCAGAAGAAAGCTCAGTCACAAATCAGGAAACAACACGGAACCCTCGCACGATTTGCGGTTTGTTCTTTTCAATTTCATATCTTATGGGTTGATCCATTTTTCCAGTTGCTTCGTAATTCCGCCCTGATCGTTACATGGGCTCTAGTTAACGAGGTTCCAGAGGTTATGCTACCACCGGTTAGATACACTCGAGTCAAGATTGCGATCAGCATCCTCGAATCCTCAATATCTCTGAGGGCCTTGTCATTGGCAAAGAAACGACTTCCGTTTCCTGATCGTTTCAGTACTTGGCGCTAGGAGGCACAGGTACGTATGTTAAACGTAGAACTACTGTACCGTGAGTGGGGTTATGCTAGTTGAAACCTTCATTCTGACTACATCTGATCCTTGAAGCAGAGGAGGATTTGCCGTTGAGGCGCAGCCCCACCGAACCGGATTGGACACGGCTGTCGCAGCACGTCGTGGAGCCAGGCTACACGCTATGGACGGTGCGCCCGGGCCTGGGGTTGGTGTCTGGGATTTGGGTTTACGTTGAGGCCGTTGAGGACCCAGGATGTGTTCAGTAGGACTTGGTACTTTTGGCTTTGACCTGGTTTCGGGCTCGTGAGTTATCCGATAGCAGGGAAAATCATTCGGAGCTCCAGACATGGGGACCCTTATCTAGACCCTGAGAATTTCTGAGAAATAGCATCCGTGGATTGAAGGAGACGCAGAAAGCCATTGTGATCCCAAGCGACCCACGCTCGAACCACTCCGGCCCACGTCGTTCGTGAGAGAGAGGCACAGAGAGACAGTGTAGGGCCATGGCATGACGAATTCAAGAGACCCTGGTGCCGGAAAGTCGTTGTTTCGCAGTCCTGTTCTTCAAGCTGCATCACTTATGTCTGTGAGCATAGTGGCCGCAATCACTAGTTACCATGGCATTTACAAGAATGCTAATGATACTTGCAATTTCCCTGCAGCGAACCCGCCTCTCTCCCTCTCTCCCTCTCTCTCGCTCTCTCTCTCTCTCTCTCTCTCTCTCTCTCTCTCTCTCCCCCTTCGTTGTGAAGGTGGGCTACATCATGCGCCTGGATGGCGCCAAAGCACTGCTGGATGCCCGTGTGGAGGTGTGGATGTAAGGTTGGGAGCATGTCGCCGAGAGTTCCCTCGGAGCTCTTGCTAATGGAAGCTGATCCTTCACCGTCCAAGTCTAGGTCAGAATCATTGGAATCTGAGCAGTGGCTGCTGAGAGTGTTATGGAAAACTGATCAAGTACAGACATTCTTCCTCATAGAATCCGTGTTCTGACTATTATTACGGCCACTTCACTTCTATTACGCTGCCAGCGCGCTTTCGCGCCTCTGGATGACTACTTCTCCGTGGCCGCCGGCCGCGGATTCGATTGCTTCTACAATGACAAGGCTGGCTGGGCTACTGTGGCGGCCTTTGCTTCGACTGGGGCTCCACAACCTCCAGGCTGTGTGCTCACAGCGATGATCATGACCATGTTGATGGTGATGATGATGGTGATGGTGATGGTGATGGTTATGATGATAATGATGGTGATGCTGATGATGGTGATGATGATGATGATGATGATGATGATGATGATGCTGACGATGATGATGACGATGATGATGATGATGATGATAAGGGTTTTGGTGTTGTAATGGCATGCTCGTTGGCATCTCATCCATTTCGTGTCTGCCCACATGCGAGTGAAGCAGTCTCGATTGCTACCTCTAGCTCAAGTTCCTGCTTTGTGCGATGTTGGTGCCGCTGCGGGATAGCAGGTTTTGGAGTGGAAGCCCTACATTCCGGTGCTTCTGCGACCAATGGCTTTGACACCTCCTTTGGTGATGCCGTGCGCAGGGGGGATGAGGTCGCTCTCTCATGCGAAAGAGAGGGCTTTTCTTTGCCGCGGCTGCCAGGTACGTCGGTTCCATGTTCCTCAGTGACACGGCGAAGGCATGGGAGCCCACGGGAGCTGGTTGCCGAAACCCCGAGCTTTCAGCAGAGGCATCCTGTGTTAAGCCCCAAAGCCCAACATGTCAGCCAAGCTCATGCTCCAGAGGTGCGTGCCGCAACGCGGTATGTGGAGGATCTCCCGGTGTCCGTTCCTGACGAGTAGGAGACAAGTTTGACAGTTTCGCAGGTTTCCGCCAGTAGTTTTGGATGTTTGGTGAAAAGCATCAGGCTTTGGGGTTCGCGGGGCGCTGTCCGTGTCTTACACGGCTGCACTGCTTCACAGATCTCTTTGCGCGCCGGTGGCTATCTATCGTGGTCGAAGCTCAAATTCACGTGTTAGATGTGTTTGGCATGTCGTGCTGTTGGAGCCGCCGGAGCACCCGAGAGTCTTTGTGCAGTGCTTGAGCTGTGACAGCGCAGGGAACAAGAACGCAGCTCGCACTTTCGCTTTCTGGTTCATTTTGGCCATGCTTCCACCCATGAGCAGTGCAGGTCGTAACATAGGGCCAGAAAGGCCTAAATAATGACCAACAGTATTTTGGGGTTCTTTGTTATAGTCATAGAATAGTTACCCCCAAAATCCTGCTCCAATTGCATTGCTTATCAAGGCCCTTACGTTACTTGTTGCCGATGGTTGCCAACACAAGCACTCCTTGGAAAGTCGCCGGCCCCTAGAATTCAGGATCTGCTCCTGAAGCCAATTCGAGCTTTTCCCAGGGCCTCGCGAATGCATAGCTGGAGGCGCAGTTGGAGAGTCTACTTCGAAACCAGCGCCAGTGTGAGCCAGGCTCAGCTGGAGGAGCGAGGAAAGAAGCTCGAGGAGATCGCAGGCACCGGCCACAGATCCGTACGATTTGTGCCGACATGTTAGGATTTGAAGCTTCGATCCTCGCTGAATCGCTAGAGGGACGAAGCTCGGAAAGTACATCAACTCTGCCTTGCAGAATTCGAAAACGGCTACGGCTCAAGCATCTCGCAGGCATCGTCACACCCACGTGCACCTGAACTTGGTGCTGCGGCTTCAGTGCCGATTGGGGAAGGGAAGGGACCTTGGGGTGCTATGGCGCGGCAGGCAGCAGCCGGGCAGACTGTGGACTTGGAAGAACAGGAAGCACTTCTGTCAACAGAGACCTCGGGCGCTAGTAACTCTTGTCTGCCGTTGACGAGAGGAACCCTGCTGGTGGCTGGGGGGCTGGTGAGCATCTTTCTGGTGGTCTTCAGCGCCTTTGTGGACAATTGGCTGTGGCCGGTGCTGGGTTTGCTGCTTTTGATGGGCCATAGCCTACTGCTTAAGGCCACCGCAGACAAGGAAGGCCCTTCCGGGGTTTCGTCTGTGGCCTTAGCGTGCGAGACCTTGGCCTACTTGGCTTTGGTGGCCACGTATCTCTTCCGTTCCTTCATGGTTCCCTCCTGGTGGTGGGTGGCGAACGCCTTTCTCTTGTTGCTTTCAGCAGGCGCTGTGGCAACTGTGGCTTGCCGCTACCTTGGCAGCAGCAGCTCGGGCGCGGAAAAGGCCTCAATACTAGGCTATTTCTTGCTTGCTTTTGCGGACCTTCTTGTGGCTCTCCTGCTCCTCTTGGCGGGCAGTGCAGCGGTCCAAGAATGGATAGGATCGCGGCTTTTCTCCACGGTATTGCAAGGCATGATCGCCCGTGTCCAGACTTCGACACGTAGCTACACGGGACCCCTTCCGAGTTTCCCGACGTGTGACCTCACCACATCGAGCTGCAGTCTCGGGGACTTTGAGCAAAACCAATGGACCGTGGTCCGCGCCGGGGGATCTACGAGCTGCCTTGTTGGGGATTTCCAGTTCCTGGGTTCTGAAGTACCAAATACAATTTTTGGGACCTGGTCTTTCAAGGGGGCGCTATGAAATCAAAGCTTATACTTTCTTCTCCCTGGTTGCTTCAAAGCCAAGGTACCTGGTTTACAGAGGAGATCCTGAAAAAGTCCTTTTGCATCTCCATGGCGGAGGGGCTTGTTGGAACTGGGTGACATTTGTCATCGAAGCATGTTCTCGGGATTGGACAAGCACGATGGAATTCGGTGGTATTTTCGACCCTTCCAACCGAGCCAACCCGTTCTATGGGTATACGATGATAAATGTTCCGTACTGCTCCGGTGATGTCTTCGGGGGTGCCAAAGAGAACTTCTGGATCCTAGCCAACCAAACCGGCAGTGCTTGGAAGAAGCAGTCCGGCTACGCGAATCTGGATGCAGTCATGACTTGGACCGAGGCGCAGTTCCAGAACCAGGACGGTCTAAACCAGCTCACGAGCTTCGTGGCGTCGGGGGACTCTGCTGGGTCCTTGGGGCTGCAGGTTTGGGGCTCTACCATTCTGAATCGCCTCAAGGGCAAGTATGACTCCAAGGGCACCTACTTGATCTTGGACTCCTTTGTCGGGGCCATGGCTGATAACAGAGACCTGCTCCAACGCCAGGTGATGGACTTCTGGAATTTCTGCGATTCAGGCGTAGTGCCGGCGAACCTGCAGTCGAAGTGCCACCCGGACACTCTCTTCTTAAGGGACTTCGTGAAAGATACCCTGACCGCATTCCCCGATGTGCGCTATCTTCCGGTGGACAGCAAGTTTGATGAAATTCAGATTGCTTTTGCGGACATGCTCGTGGCTTTGGACAGCCTCTGGATCCTGGTCACGCAGGGGTTGGACAACGTGCCATTGTTTAACGACACAGCTTTCTATAATGAGATTAGCGAGATGCTTGCCAGGTTCGTCTCTTTTCCTCAGTTTGCGGTGTATCTGGTGAATTCGAGCCAGCACACCTACACCGGCTATCCCCTACGTGACATCTTACGGGTGACGCCTGCCGGCGCCCAGAACGACTGCAGCGACCCGGACGTCGGGGAGCGCCTGCTTCCTTGGCTGGCGCCGAGGCCTGAGCGGCCTCCCTATCAGTGCTATGATCTCCTTCGAGATTCATCGAAATGGACAGGGATGTACTGCTCCGATTCCCTGCCGTGGATGGCAGGGAAGTGCGATAAGCTTTCAGCAGACAAGGCAGAGAAATCGGAGAAAGTGGCCAAATCTGAGGAAGTCGAACATCCCGACAAAGTGGACACGCCAGAGGAAGCGGACAAAGCCGAAAACGTGGACAAATCGGAGGAAGACGAAGCTGAGAAATGAGGCGGAGGAGCTCGAAAATATGAGACTCAATGGTATGCCAGACGTGTACAGAAGAAATGGCGAGATAAGTATAGAAGGCACGGTCTTTCCTGGACATGTAGTCCGAACCGCGCCCTTAGTTGAATTTTGCTACTGTGCCTCTTGCCTTTTGCGATGCACATGTTTCAACGGCCACCAGTGCTCTATGCCCGTTTGAATTCGTCTCTCCGGTCAGGTACCTCCAGGTCATGTAAAGTTCTCAGAGACCTCCGCAAGGATCGAGGCTTCAGCGACTGAAAACGAGTGCCCAAAAGTAGCATGCTGAATCCTTCAAGTGCCTAAGCCCTGCACCCCCTTTCTTTTTTCAGAGCGACCAGTGCCGATGAACGATAAGAGGCAACTCCCTAAATCCTTCAGACGACTGAGGCGACTCGGAGAAGATTCGGCAAGAAGCGGCTCTTCTGAAAACCCAGCTCCAGGCTTTCGGGAGGGGGAGGGGCCCTCCTCCGGTGTTTTTACTCGAAGTTCCTTGAACTGCTGAAACGCAATGCTGCGCAGTATCGTAGTTCTTTCATTATTCTTGTATGGGCTTCTTCTCGCATAATTACCAACATATTTGCTGCTGCTACTTCTGCTGCTGCTGCTGCTGCTGCTGCTGCTGCTGCTGGTGCTGTTGCTGTTGTTGCTGTTGCTGCTGTTGCTGCTGCTGGCTGCGGCGGCGGCGGTGGTGGCGGCGTTGGTGTTGCTGTTGCTGTTGCTGTTGCTGTTGCTATTGCTGTGTCTGTGGCTGTTGCTCTTCTTGTTGCTGCTGTCGTTGTGGTTGTCATTGTTGGTGTTGGTGTTGCTTGTGAGTTCGTGTTGATGTTGGTGTTGCTGTTGTTGGTGTTGTCATTATTCCTATTCTTATTGTTTTGCCACCGTCGTGACTGAAACAGCACCGGGAATTCTGAGATCGAACAGTGATACCAGTACTAGTGCTAGAGCTCGTGCTAGTGCTCGCACTTGTACTCGTACTCGCAGTCTCGAAACTAGTGCAACTACCACGACTACTACTAACCATAGTTGAAAGACAAACTTCGTAGTAACCTCATTGATCAGAGTTCTCGGGTGACAGGGTCAGGGGGCCGACTCCGCGCTTGAGGCTCAGGGTTTGAGAGCGCATCTACCACTATCACCCACTATAGGAATAATAGCATTAAGCATAGGCTTAGTGCAAGTACCACTACCCCTGGCCGAGAACCCTACGCTCTTCCTGAAGTCGGGAGGCTTATGCGACGAGCGTACCAGAGGAAGCCGACGCCCTCCAGGCCCATCAAGGTGACGCCTGGGCCATGTTACGAAGCTCTGGGGCCTTTGGGGCAGCTTGGGGCCTTTGGGATGTTCCCAGAGGAGTTCAACTTCGCCAGGATGGTTCTGGGGGCTTTGTTGAGACATGTCTCGAAGCACGGCAGATGCCTGACCCAGAGTCTCACAGCTCGGGCATCACAAGTGCTGATCCTTGCTGGTTGTTGCTCCACGCACGGACTAGTGCTCCGGAAAAGAGTTCGTTCAAATGGCAGATGGCAAGACCAAGGAACTGCAGAGTTTGCAATTCCACACGTTGAATTCGCGCACCGCTGCAGATTCTGCAGCAGCGCCCTTAAAGCAGATTATGCTCTGCACTTTGCTGTGAGGCGTGCAGCGGGTGGAGCCACAAGGGCTGCTCAAAAGAAGCAGTTGTGAAGTGCTACCGGCAGCAGGCACACCACAACCACCTCTATGCAGACTGTCTGTGCCACTAGGGACCAGAGAGTCAAGACACATAAAATCACTGACAAAATTGCCAACGTTCTAAGCATGCATCAATGCATCATGTACCTATATATACAAGCCCTGCGAATTAGTGCGGCCGGGTGTCTCAAGTTCTCAAGACTTCCTGTTCTGGTTTGGGTAGGGTATAGGGTTTATGCAGTTTACAGTGTCGTTATCCTGCGAAGCCCAGCCCGCGTACGGCAAAACTGAGGAAATTGCAGAGTTTGCAATTTCGCAGATTAAATTCAGGCCCTGCTGTAGATTCTATAGCAGCGCCCTTAAAGCAGATTGTGCTCTGCACTTTGCTGTTGAGCGGATTGGAGCCACAAGGGCTGCTCAAAAGAAGAAGCTGTGGCGTGCCAGCCTGTAAGCCTGCACACTGCAACCACCTCTATACAGACTGTCTGGGCCAATACAGGTGCCAGAAAGTCCAGAACCCAAAATCATTGACAACATCGTCACCGTTCTAAGCATGTGTTCTTGTAACATATGAATTACTGCTGCCGGGCGTCTCAAGATTGTGGAGTTTCAGAAAATATCGGGCCATAACCAAAACACGCAGAGTCCTTATTCGAAGTACCCTAAGCTTTAAACCTCAAAACCCAAGCTCTAATAACAAGCCCCCCAAACCCGCAATCCCAAGTAAACCCAAAATCCGAAACCCTTGCTTGTTGGACCACCCTAAACCTTTAACCCTTTTGTTCTCTAAACCTTAAGCATTATTGTTCTCTAAACCTTAAGCACTTAAGCCCTTGTTGTTCTCTAAACCTTAAACCCGTGCCTGTTCTCTGAACCTTAAACCCTAAACTCTTAGACCTCTCCCTTTTTGTGCCATTTAAACCCCTTCGGCATCTTGAGAAGCCCAGAGCCCGGGGGGGCCTATTGCAGGAGCCTGATGTAGAAATCCCTGGTTCGTGTAGTTTAGGGTTTAGGGTTTAGGGTTTAGGGTTTGGGATTGAGGCGTATGGATTCTGTTGATATTTCAGGACATCGAGACCAGGGATGTCTTCCTCAGGGTACTACGTTACTCACCTCAAGGATTCTTCGGCTGCAGGAAACCTGGCTTGATCTCGTGCTCGAGGCAGCGGCAGCTGGGAAAGTCCTCCGGCACAGACTCCTTGCTTGCGGGATGAGGTGCCGGCCAGGGTAGCTGTGGCAGCTGCGCGATATGGAGGTCCACGGAGGCCTTGCCAGGCATCACAGATGTGATGACTGGCTTGAAGACCGGTTCGTACATGGACTTCACACGATCTTCGAAGATGCCGTAGACTCCCCGCTCCTCCATGTAACTGCGTAGCAGGGGCCCCGTTCCGCCGAGCATGGCCAAAACGGTGGTAACCTTGGCATCCCATGTTGCCATGGGGGCAACGGCTTTCCCAGTGACGGTGAATGACTCAATGCTGCCAACAGGTGTTTGCACCCGAGGCATGGCCAGCATGTGGTTGTACCATGCAAGCCCAGCAGCCGGATCCACCAAAATCGAAGGGAAAGCGGCATAGGGGGTAAGGACTGTCTCCGACTCCTTGAAACTGAAAACGGGCTCGCCGGCCAGGGACTGGATTCCTACGGCGCTGCAGTAGGGATGGGCATCACACTGCACACCGTTGGGTGCATTCACCGATGCCATGAGACCAGGCAGCTGCTCCTGCACGGAGTTCTCCAAGCGCGCGAACTCACCGTTTGCAAAGAGGTGCTTGACCAGTGGGATGTCCATGTAGGGGAGCTGCAGGGTTTTCCACTGTTCATGTGCTGAGAACCAATACCCTTTCTGTAGCACCATCTTCGTGTCGTCGGCGGCCGTGTACACGACAGGCTCGACATGCTCTGCTTTGATCGTCCACATCAGCTTCTTCTCCTCCTCACCATTGTTCGGGTACTTGGTCCAATTGCCAAAGATATCCAGGAAGAGAACAATCATCTCCCCTTCGAAGGCATCCCAAAGAAACAAGCCGTTTTCGTTGTGAGCATTGGAAGCGTTTTTTGCAACATCGACAGTGATGTTGTCGAGCTCGCTGACCATGCGCACCAAACCGGCCCCGTTGTAGAACAAGTTGACAACGGATTCCTTCATCCGCTCCAAGCGAGCGTTCCAGCGCCGGGCCGCCTGGGCAAAGCGACCGGAGGTGCCTTCCTGCTTCGCACGGCGCTCCAGAACATGTACCACGGCAGCAGTGCCAAACGCAAGCTGACCGTTGTCCAGGCCAGGCAGGGTCCTCTCCCAGCCGGACACCGGGGTCATCCTGGTTCCAGGGTCTGCAAGGGTCTTGCAGTGCCCCGCCTTGTTGATGCCACGAGAGCAGAACCAAGGCAGGAAGCCACCGAAACCCGGGTAGTTTGCATCAAAGTCCTCCATGGTTTTGGCCTTCTTCTCCAGGATGTCCAGTGCCTCGTCGGTGCTGTAAAGAAGAGGATACACTGTGGCCAGCTCCGCAGGCACGTCCTCGACGGGCTGGAGAGCCAAAGCGAGCAGGCTCAAGTGCAGAGCTTCTTTGGATGGTGCCGAGAAAGTTCGGAGCGTTCCATGCTGGACTTCACCAGTGTTGTCGTCCAGGCCAACGCCGTCATAGGTCATGCCGGTGTCGGGATCGAAAGAAAGCTTAGCTGCCCCCCCAAGAAAACCACGCTCCATGTACATCACATTCGCCATGTAGTCTGCCCGTGTCTTTGGATCGTGCCAATCCACGCCCTCGAACTCTTTGGCGAAGCGGCAGCATCCGGAGCTGGCGAGTTGGGGCGAAGTCGTCTCAGACAATCTCCGGTGGTTGGTGCCCTCGGTTGCGAACTGAGGGACCCGCTTCGAGAGCACGAAGACCATGCCCAGCAAGACCAGGAAACTTCCGACGTAACCCGCCTTTGGCGCGAGTTGGCTCTTGGCCTCGCAGGACCCATTCAAGAGGAGAGCTTGCTATTAGGAGTGCCTTATACCAAGTACTATAAGTGTCCCTTAGAATCTGACTCCTATGACTATTCAGACTATTCACGGTTCCTGCAGTTTTTCTCGCAAAAAAAATCCAACGACACTCTGAGCTCTGACCTCCAAGACAGCCGGAGAGCGACTTGGGAGTGCCATTGCAAGACCGTCTCCTGCGAAACTTCGCCGATTTGAGGTTCTGAGAGTGATGCCCCGTAGGAAATCCTTGAGCCGCAGCCGTATGATGGGTTTTTTGCTTCGGGACTCCATGGCGTATGATGGGTTCGGGTTTAGGGTTTAGGGTTTAGGGTTTAGGGTT